AGGAGGGACAGCAGGAGCCACCCTCAGACCTTTGGTCCCTTTGCTTGAGCACCAGTCATCCCGCGTCCCCCTGCCTCCGTCTCAGGCAGGACGTGGAAGGGCCCCAGGCCCGGAGGACGGCGGCTCCTCTGCGGGGCTGAGGCAGGCCGCCCGCACGGCTCACGCGTCCCTACCTCTGCCCTTTGCTTAAAGCAGTGCTGAAGCGGGCGGCCACCAAGAAGAGTCGCAACGACCTGATCCACGCCGAGGAGGGCGAGGACCGCTTTGCAGACCTCTGTGCTGTGGGTGAGTCTGGCTCGCCTGGCTCCGTGGGCGGGTCTGGGACCCAGCTTCCTGCTGTCACCGTCACCGTCACCGGGGCTGTCCAGCTCTCTGGGCCCCTCCTTCCCCCTGCCTGCCCTGCCCAAGTAAGCTAGTGCCGTGCCCACCACGGGCGGGAACACAGCGTTTGCCCGTGTGTGCCCTGGGGCAGCTCCTGGAGGCCGCCTGTGCCCAGGCCTGAGCTCGCTGGTCCAGCGCACTCGCTGGCTGCGGGCGGCTCTGCGCTCTGCCGGTCCCCCGGCCGCCGCTGGAACCCACAGATGGTGGCCTAGATGCGGAGGCAGCCGCCAAGGGGTGTGGAGTGGCTGGATTCTGGATATATTTGGAGACCAGCCCACAGGGTTGGCTGACCAACTGGACGTGGGCGTGAGAGAGACATCAAGGTGGCTCCACAGGACCGGAGCCAGCCCACGTGGCTGCGGGCAGTGTTGGTGGGGACTCACGTCCAGCCTTTGCTTTGGGACACGCGAGTTGGCCGTGTGGGTTGGAGAGCGGGGGCCGTGCCGGGGGCGCCGGGGGAGCTGGTCACGTGCAGGAGGCTTGGTTTCCCGGTGGAGACAGGAAACGGGCACTCTCGCTGGGGAAGGTGTTGCAGTGCCTGCTCCTGCTGCCTGGCCCCGTGGACTGGGTGTGGAGGAGGGGCCAGCGGGGCTTGATGCAAACATGGCCATGGATGCCCCTGCGTGGTTGCGCCTTTGCTGAGTGGGGGAGTGTGTGGCTGTCTCCTGTGGGCACAGGTGGGTGTGGGGAAGCCAGGCGGGGGTTGGGGGCAGCGTTCCTGTGGAGCCTGCCCGGGCAGAGTGGACTGTTCCCCGGCACGGTCAGCTGGAGAGCGGGAGGTGAGTGGTTGGGTTCTGATACATCAGAGACCAGTCCACGGGGTTGCTCACCGGCCACATGTGCTCGCAGCATCTCCATGAATCACGTGTCCTCTTCCCCTCCTTCCAGGGTGGCCATGCTTCTAGGTATGTCCTGTGTGGGTCTGAGTGTGTGTCCTGGAGGTGTGTGTGTGTGTGTGTGTGTGTGTGTGTGTGAGAGAGAATGACCGAGAAAGGGATGGGGTGGGAGTGTGGCTTCACGGCCCAGTCTGCACTGCGGCTCTGTGCCCCTCGCTGCCTGTGAGGAGGGAGTGGGTGTGTCTGGCCTCGGCCTCGGTGCTGGGCAACCCTCAGCAGGGCCGCCGGGAGGGCTGTGGCTTGAGCAGCTCTGGCTCCTCGGCGGTGGCTGTCTGGACGGGGCTGGAGGCTGTGTCCCGGCTCAGCCGGGGAGGCTGGGGCGGGACAGCGTCTTCCTCGGGTGGGACGGGCGTGGGATCTGGAGTGCCTGCCAGGAAGCTGCCGTTAGGGTTCCGGGAAGGGCTGCCAGGCCTGGCTGATGGGCTATGTGGGCTGACCAGGGGGGTAGCTGCTGCCTGATGCAGCTGCTCCGCGTAGATGCGTCTCTTCAAGGCCTCGGCCTGTTTTCATCTCTGAACCCAGAAATGCCAGCCTGATGGTGTGCTTAGCATGCACACACACACTCACACGTGCGTGCACACACGTGCAGATGCGCTCGACATCATGTAACGCCTATGCCCACACTCCCCACCCTCCCCCTGGGCCCCGATGCCCACGCCCAAGGGCTTTGAGCGGCACGCACACGCCAGCCCTGAGTGCAGAAGCTGGAGAAACCCCGAGGCAGGCGGCGCGGCTCACA